GGCTAGAGGGAGACAGAGGGGGAGGGAGGGAGAGAGAAACATCAATGTGAAAGAGACACATCGACCGATTGTCTCCTGCATGCACCCTGACCAGGGTGCAGGGAATGAACCCACAACCCAGGTACATGTCCTTGACCAGGAATCAAACCAGCAACCCTTGAGAAAAAATCATCTGACAGTCTTATGGGAGCTCCCTTGTAGGTAACTCACTGTCTTTCTCTTGCTGCTTTTTAGATTTTTCTCTGTCTTTAACCGTTCGCATTTTAATTATGATGTATCTTAGTGTGTGCCTCTTTGGATTCATCTTGTTTGGGAGTCTCTGTGCTTCCTGGACTTGTAAGTCTATTTCCTTCACTGGGTTAAGGAAGTTTTTCATCATTATTTTTTCAAATAGGTTTTTAATTCCTTGCTCTCTCTCTTCTCCTTCTGTTACCCCCATGATGCAAATGTTGATAGGCTTGAAGTTGTCCCAGAGGCTTCTTATACTGTTTTGTTTTTTGGATTCTTTTTTCTTTTGGCTGTTGTGATTGTATGTTTTCTGCTTCCTTATCTTCCAAATCTCTGATTTGATCCTCTGCTTTATCTACTCCACTGTTGATTCCCTGTATTGCATTCTTCATTTCAGTTAATGTATTCTTCATTTCTGAGAGGCTCTCTTTTGTGTTTTCTAGTTTTGTTTTTATGTTTCCTATCTCTTAGTTGAAGTTCTAAGTTCATATACTGTTCCCCTAAGTTCATTGAGTATCCTTATAACCAGTGTTTTGAACTCTGTATCTAGTGGATTGCTTGTCTCCATTCTCTTTAGTTCTTCTGCTGGGGTTTTGTTCTGTTCTTTCATTTGGGACATGTTTCTTTGTCTCCTCATTTTGGCCACCTTCCAGTGTTTGTTTCTACATGTTAGGTAGAGCTGCTATATCTTCCAGGCTTGTATGGAATAGCTTTATGCACTAGGTGTTCTGTAGGGTCCAGTGGCACAGCCTTCCCAATCACCCAAGCTGGCGGGGTGCACCCACCCTCCTGTTGTAGTTGAGCCTTCATTGCTGTTGGCATGTCAATGGGAGGGATTGATCCCCCCCCCCCCAGGCTGATCAGCTACAGGGACTGGCTGCAACCACCATGGAGGATCTGCTTCTGCAGGGGCCCGACCCGCAGAGCAGGACTTATTTCAGCTGAGCTCTGGTGCCCGCTAATCTTGCCCCTTAAGTGTGTTGCTAGTGGAGGTGGTTGAATGGTGCTTCGATGTTTTCTAAAACTGTCATCTAAAATATTTTAAACAAACAGCTCCTTTCAACATGTAAAAAAAAAAACCATAAACATGACAATTTGGCATGAATTTGTCTTCTCAATGACAAATAATGTACTGGCTTAAGCAAATTATTCTGTTTGAGGGCTCATCAAACTGTTCAGATCATGGAGGAACCAGTAATGTCATCTCTCTGTGCTGCAGTGTCAGCACATTGAGATGGTTCTTGGCATCTCTTTTCAGCTTCCTAAAATGTTTAGAAATGCCACCTGAAGCTCATCATTTACTTCTCTTTCTCAGGTTGTGCAAATTGAAAATCAAATCAGTAATAATAAATCACTCTTGTCCCTTCTATTTACAGTGCTTTTTCTTTCCCACCTTCCATCTACCTCTCCTTACCCATAATAGTTCATTCCAAGGAATAGTTCAAGGGTAAAAAGATCTCCTTGCTTCCTGACTCAGGTAAAATAGAACATTCTACTCATATAAGTAGTCAGCCACCCCCTTTCCTTCCCTGGATGCTTCCACTTTGTTTCATCTTCATCAGGAGACTCTACAGATCTCCTAAATGGCCTCTTCCCCATAATAAATTAAAAGAACTTTTTAAAAAAATCCTTCTAAAATCCTGTAATCTAATTTACAGTTTGTCCTGTGCTACCTAGGTTACATGCATTCCTAACTTAAACAATCTGTCCATGTTTTGGATGATGTCTTTTTGTCCTAAAATAACTATTTGTCTCTTATCAATTAACCACACAAGAATTTTTTTTGAACAATTGATATTTTAATACCTCAGCATACATTTTTCTTGAGCATCTAAAAAATGTTACTTAGTGGGTTGTTTTTTTTAATAGTGTCAAGTTATCTTGTGGGCCATTAACTCTGAAAGTTATACCTTGCAGTCTTTCCAAACGTTTTGCATTTGATTTCCTTCCTGACTTATCTATCTCAGTGTGGCTGGAACACAGAGATCAAATGAGGAAAGTGGTGAAAGTTAGGTTGGAGAAGTCCAGGATTGCCTAGATGGCATTTGGGTTGTACCCTGAACAATAGCATAGGCCAAGGGAGAGAAGGGGCCTGGAATCCAGACTGTGCTTTGCTCACCAAGTACTGTGCCTGCCAAGAGGCTGAATTTGTCTAAGGAAGGGGTGCTTTGTTGATTCACACAAAGATGTCCTATGAGCTGGCAGTATTCCTATAGAAAATCATGTAGAGGACTTTTGATTTTATCCTAGTGCATTGAGAAATCACTGGAGGGAATAAGAGAATCCAATTTATATTTTGTCAACAACACTCTGCTGTTTGTATCATGGATTGGAGAGACGGAGAAAGTAAGGAAACCAGTCAGGAGGTGATGGTGGTCAGAGCTGGGGTGTTGGAAGTGGAAATACAGAGAAATGGATGGATGTAAGGCATCTTCTGAAGACAAAACAAACAGGATTTAATGCTAGATTAGGTGTGGAGGGTAAGGGAGAGAGGAGAATGAAATATGGTTTCCCAGTTACTGACTTGAATAACTAGATGGATGGTTGTTCTGAGTCCTGAGATGCGGCAGGCTGGGGGCAGAAGAGGTGGAGATGGGGTTGCAACAAGATTTCTGGCTCAGACACTTCATTTGAGACACTTGTGAAGTTCCTAAAAGACTACTAGGAGGCAGGTGGATATAAGTACCTGGAATTCAGAAGAACATCTGTTCCTTGTCTTTAGCAGTCCAGAGTAACACACCTGAACAACTCCATCATGTTTCTAAATGATCATCAGCATCCTTTTCCCTAAACAATCCAGAAATTTATTTTGAGAAAGCCAAAATAAATTTTTTTTAAAAAGTCTAGCAAGTTACTTTCTGTTTTTTGTTTTTTGTGGGGTTTTTTTTTTAATTTATTTTTATTGATTTCAGAGAGAGGAAAGGAGAGGGAGAGAGAGACACAGAAACATCAATGATGAGTCATTGATCGAGCCCACAACCCGGGCATGTGCCCTGACCGGGAATCGAACCCCGATCGCCTGGATCCTAGGTCGACGCTCAACCTTTGAGCCACGCCCGGTCGGGCCCAAAATAATTTCTTGCATTGAGTGTAAATATAATTGTTTTCCCTTGGGGCAAATACTCAGACCTGTGCCCAGTATAATAAACCCAATGACCCCACACTAGAACTGGTCTTCTATCTGTATTTTATTTAATTTAAAGGGTTTCCCACAAACCTTCTTAACAAACTTTCTGTTTCCTGGTACCCTGGTTTCAGTGTTCCCTTGAGAAGGTCAGATTGACATCTTTCCTCTTCTTATAGTGACCTCAACCACAAGTCAGGTTTGACAGTTTTTCTCCCAATTAATCTGGCATTAACTCCCTCTGAGAATTTATAATCATGGCATAGTGTAAATCTAGAGCCAGCCTATCACTGGGATCCCTTCTCTAATCTCACTAGATGAACTCCCAGGCCTGAAGGACTCTAGGACTCTCTCTCTTGCTCCAATAGCAGAGCCAAAAACAGTGGTTAAAAACCACAGGGAGAGAGATGTTGGCTCAGCAAAAGGAAAAAGTGCCTAATGCTTTGTGCTGTCTGAAAATGGAAACGCCTCCTGAGGAAGGAGTGAGTTACAGTTTCTGGTGGTGTAGAGGCACAGAGCAGACAATCATTTGGTGCAGATTCCATGGTAGAGGCTAAGGGGTTGGAGCATAGAATTAATCTCCACTGACTATTGAATCCCTGCTCATGCTATAGCCTTACACAGATATTTCGTCCCATTTAATCCTCATAAGGACTCCCAAGGGAACGAGTCATAACCCCACCAGGAGAAGTTATGGTCACAATTTAGCATCACACAACTAGAAGGTGTCAGACCAGGATTTAAACTCAACTTCATCTAAATCCAAAGTCTTTGTTTATTCTTTCCACAATTCATGGAAGCTTGAGAAATTGAACTAAGAGATTTCTAAGGTCCCTTCCAGCACTGTGATTCTGAGTCAAAATATGGATATAGGCATCATTGACCTATGTTTTCCTTAATCATCCTTCTGGCCTCAGTCACATTAAAATGATCATCTGGGACTCCAACACTTTCTGTGGTCTCCATCAAGAAAGGACCATTAAAAACTCAACATTTGTACTTTGTATCCCCTCTAAGCTTTCAGCAGAACTTAATCTAAGGGCCTTTAAAATCTTTTTTTTTTTTTTTCTTAATAGGGTTGCTGCCAAGGACTGAGCTTAGAGTACAAGTGTACAGAATACATAACTTTTAGTATTTCTCAAAACTGTCATAATATATTGTCCTAACTTCTCTACTTATTTTTCAGGTCTTAGAAGATCTTGAAATATTTGACCCAAGGTCAATTTTTCTGGCCTAAGTTCTGAGCCACCTTTTTAGAAATAGTAGAATTTAAAAATTAGATTAACTTTTAAAATTAATTTTAGAATAAGAATTTTAAAAAACATTAGAGTCTGAAAATAAGTTTAATTTACTTTCTGTAAAGTTAAATGGCATTATATGTGTGTTAAATGCTATTTTCTAGGTTGAAGCTGAACTCGCCAAGGAAAGAGCCCAACGTTTAACTGAATTTGAGGAGCAAGCTCTTTTCTTTAAAGAAGAAGCTAAACTGGAACTTGATATTGAAAAGGAGAAACACCAAGAAATAATCCAAAAGTATAAGGAAAAGCAAGAGGAGCTGCAAATGAAGGTCTGTCACTATGGTTATCATTATCATTTAAGGGTTTAAAAACTACAGATGTTGGTTATTTCCTCCTAACAACGCTACAGTATCTATCACTCTAGCAGTTTTCCTCATAGTCACTGTGCCTTGACTTCAACCACGTAGGTAGAATGGTTGGGATAGTCTCCAAAAGGAATAGCTGAGATAAATCATACAAGCATGCAATCTAGCTATATATGAAATTTTTTATAAAAATAAACTTAATTTTTTAAAACAGCACAAATTACATAACCAATAATTAGCGTGGTTAGGTATTCCAACGCATCAAATATCTAACATCAAAAGATAATGAGGTGTTTTACATAATTGAAATTTTTCCAACAACTAAAGACTACCTTCTTTAATTGTAAGTCTTTTCAATTCTAAATATTTTTGAATGAAGGGAAATATTTTTAAAATGTAACCACCTCTATAATTTCTGAAAGAATGTATCCTAAATATAATTTAAGGTTTTGTTAAGGTTCCCTATTTTTATAAGGCTTGAGTGTAGTAATGTGCATGTGTTCGCGCATGTGTGTGTGTGTGTGTGTGTGTGTGTGTGAACCAAGATGCAGTGGGGAGAACTAGATCTTGAATAAAATGATTAACAGTCTGTGTAAATTAAGTATCACTTGAGACTTAATGGCCTCTGCTTTGGTATACAGGGATGTGGTGCGGCCTTCTCAACAGACAGGGCCAGCTACATGGGTATAAAGGGATGTGGTGCGGCCTCAACAGACAGGGCCAGCTACATGGGTGTAGGACAGGTGCAGTGTCACAGGGCCACACACTCAGAAAGGGCCCATGCTTTGGGTTTAATGCTCTGCAGATGCTGTTTTGAAATTCTTAATAATTTTATCTTTCAATTTGTGTTTTTTAAGTGAAGTCCTATTGGGACAATAGAGCACATGTGGGAAACTTGGAACCTCGGCTCACCCAAGGTTCTGCCTCCCCTAGTCAGGTCGTCTCCTAGACAGGCCTTTTGCTTACTAACCCCTGCCCCCCCACCCCCGGCTGCCCTCGGCATGCCCTCCTTTCCTCCCTTCGCCTCAGGACTGCTGTCCCATCTGCAGGGGAATGTCTAAAGGCAGGCCCCAACTTGCCATGGGTTACAGTTTTTCAAGAGAAGTCATAGGTCCAGATTTTTTAAGTAAACTCTCTTGAATTTTAAGTTGTTGACTCCCTTTTTAAAAAAATAAAACATATTTGTGGCCACTGTGAGTCTCCTCTCCCAGGGATAACTGCTCTATTTCAGTGTCATGTCTCCTCAGGGTGATGGAAACTACTGTCCAGACCCAGCAGTGACCCTCTTCCTTCCTGGATTAATTGGAGATAATGGATAATATTAACTTAATTTATAAAATTACCAAGCGTGATGAATAGATTTCTTTCAGAAGTTATTCTTAATGTAAATTTAACATTTGGAACAAATTTCAGATACTTAACTCTTAAGTAATACTTCACAAAATCCTTGGAACTTTGGGCTCTGAACTTTCTCCAGATTCTCCATGGGTTGGTTTCTTGTTGTACTAATATTTATTACATGACAATCTCTGTAGCATAAATAATGAGGATATGTTTCATCAGAAGCAACTTTGTTTTCTGTTCCTTGTTTTGTTTTTTAAGGCGAGAGAAAAAAACAAGCAGCCTTTTCCCTTTGAAGACTTTCATGACTACAAGAAAAAGCTTCCCCAAGTTCTCCTCTTTATCGAGGCACCACCTTGAAAAGCAGCATATTTTAAAGTATTCTGGTGTCCTCTAGAACTGCACTGCATAACGTGGTATACATATGTGGCTACTTAAATTTTAATTAATTAAAATGAAATCAAATTTAAAATTCAGTTCCTCAGTCGCATCAGCCACATTTCAGGTGCTTATTAGGCAGTACTGGCAGGCGAGAGCCTTTGTGCTCATCTCTTCCCAATTCAGTGATCAGTGATGTCACCTTGGTAGCTTGGAATTGGCATTGGTGAGAGTGTTTATGCTGTGGAGAGTAGATACAGATCTGGTTTGTGTGTGTTTGTGAGTCAGTTGTTAAACATTTACCAGCACACCGTTGTCAATAGCCTCACGTGGCTAGTGGCTACGTGTATCCCCAAGCATCAGGCACTTTAGCTCACAAAGTTACCCTGTAGTGAGCAGACAGGCACCTGATCAAAACTTGAGCTATTTTTGGTAGCTTAATCCAGTTACAGAGATTTACATATTTCCAAGGATGCCCAAGTGACTAATTCAATTCCATTTAAGGTGGTAAAAACAAAAGTTTTAGTCTTAGCTTTTAAAAAGAAAATCCTGGAGGCCTACATATGTCATAGGATTGGTTTTCATCTGATCAGCAGAGTACACTGATTATTTAGAATAAGCCTCTTAAAACCATAAGAACTCTGTGGCTACCTAGAGATATTGCCTAGAAACTAATACAAGATTTATCTTACAGATACCTGACTTAATCGCAGGCGCTACTAGAGATCTAAGGCTGGAAGTCACCACTCTTGAAAAAAAACTCCATGAATCCCGTGTCCAATATACCAAAGCATCTGAGTCAAAGGAGAAGGAAATTGAAAACCTTAAAAATCTGGTTGCAGAATTTGAATCTCGCTTGAAGAAGGAAACTGACAATGGTGATTTTGTTTCAGAGAACTTGAGGAAGGAAATGAAACAGAAGTCAGATGAACTGGAAAGAGTAATGCTGGCACAGACACAACTGATACAGCAATTCAAGCAGTCCCGGGAACAGGTAGGACCCAGACGATGGCACCATTGCAATTAGAGAAAGAGCACAAGTTCCTTCAAAAAACAAACAAACGAAAACATAAAAGGCAGCTTGATGTCCTGCAAGAAGTTCTGGACTGTTAGTCAGGGACTTGGGATCACATCCTGGTTTTGTCCTTAACTAGACAGTCACTTAACCTTCCTGGACCTGGCTTCCTTTTCTGTAAAATGAATATATTGAACTACATAATCTCTAAGGTTTTCTCAGCACCTGGTTCTCCTGTGTTGCAAATGACCTTTTAAAACCTCTGAGACTAACAATCTTTATGTCTTGCTCGTTTTGACATTAAATCTTTGCCAAAAAACTTTTAAAGCACTTGCTGCTTTCATTCAAATAATATTTGGATAATATATCTTCAATGTAATTTTCCTTTAGGGATTTATCTTTCTGTCAACGTAAAGTTATAAGGTAATTTACATGTGTTGGCCTTCTTTCTTATGTGTGATTATTTTAGCAATGTTTTTAGTTAAACTGGAGTAACATCTTTTGATTAAAAAATTTTTTTTCTAACAAAGTCTTATTTCTGAACTGCTAAGCAGTTTAGAAATGGTGGATGCTATAGACTGGATATTTGTGTCCCCTAAAAATTCATGAAACCTAATCCCCAATGTGATTATTATTTAGGGGTGGGGACTTAGAGAGGTATTTAAGTCATGAAGGTAGAGCCCTCATGAACAAGATTAGTGCCCTTATGAAAAGAGAACCCAGAGAGCTCTCTCATTCCTTCTGCCATGTGAGGACGTGGGGAGAGGCCATCTGTGCACCAGGAAGCAGGCCCTCACCAGACACCGAATCTGCCTGTGACTTGATCATGATTTTCCCAGCCTCTAGAACCAGGAGAAATAAATTCTGTTTATTGTTTGAGCCACCCAGCCTATGGTACTTTGTTATGGCAACCTGAACTAAGACAGAGCAGTTAATCTGTTCTCTAATCACCAGAGTTATGTCACATCAGAATATTTGATCCCATTATGACAGGATAGTGAATAAAGGCAAATGGAGGAAGATTCTGAATGTTAGTGACAAGTTATACTTTTGTTGGTTTTATGGGCATCTTAATAAAGGAATTTTAAAAAGTGCTAGTAATAACGTCGATTATTAACAACTAAATATACCATGTTCTTGCTATATTTAAATTATCAAGCAGTCGAAAGTATATTCCATCATTATAATTATGAAGTGAACCTATTGCAGAGGAGTCATAAAAATAAGTTGAAATGAGGAAAGAATACTGGAACAAGAGCAATACATAAAAAACCCTAAAAAGTAGAAATTATTTCCATGTTACAGATGAGGAACTGACTCAGAAAGGTTGAACAGCTTCCAGAAGGTCACACAGCATGGTGGAGCCAACATTCATTGATAAAAGTGTTTCCTCTTTCAGGAAGCCTGAGTTATAGCGATTCTGCTTCTAAATTTCAGAGTGACCCCTAGTCTTAGCACTCATCTCCTGGCTCCATTTTTTTAAAAATGACAATAGACACACGACTTATTCCGCCAGATGGTTAGGGGTCAGATGATTGAGTGTCTCCTGTTGGAACACAGCAGTACAATTTCCCTGGTCAAGGGCACAGCCTCTCCAGCCAGTGCAGGCAGAGGTGAGAAGGGAGACACTCACGGACTCAGCTCTGCTGGAGAAACCCTGAGAGGGAGAGAGTCAATGCAGTTTTGCTGCAAAGGAAACAGCAGTGCTGAAGTTCTAGAGGAGGGACAGAAGGTCAAAGGAGAGAAAGGTCAGGGCAACTAGAACAGCAGGTTTTCTAACTCTTAAATCCCAAAAGAAATGACAATATGGAAAGTGAGGAGTAGCTTATAAATTAGACAAGTAGAAAAAGACAGATGGTTCAAATTCAGAAAATATATATTAAGCATCTATCCAGGTGCCAGGCCCTGTGCTGGGCACTAGATGTGGCATTATGAACAAGACTGACAATGGCCATTCTCTGCTCTCAAAGAGGAATTTAGAGAATGTTTTATATGAGTAATTAAATTGACAGGAGAAGAGGAAAGAATAACTGAAACAGAAACCTATCATATAAAAAGCATAAAGCTAAAAATTTGGCTTTAAAGGCCTGTATTAGTTTTCCATTGTTGCATAATACATTATCCTTAAATTCAGTGGCTTCAAACAACAAACATTTATTATCTCATAATTTCTGTGGGTCAAGGATCTGAATGTGGCTTAGCTGGGTACCCCTGGCTTAAGGCCTCTCATGGGGTTGGTGTCAGGTTTTTAGGGGTTACAGTCTCATCCAAAGGCTCAACTAGGGGAGGACCAGCTTCCAGGCTCACTTTGTGGTTGTGAGCCGGATTTATTTCCTCATGGATTCTTGGGCTCAGAGCCTCAGCACCTTGCTGGAGGTCAGAGGCCTCCCTCAGTTCCTTACAACATGGACCTCTCCATAGAGCAGCTCACCCCACGGTGGCTGGCTCCTCTCAGAGCAAGCAAATGAGCAAGAATGAGAGAGTGCAAAAGAGGGTGCCCAAGATAGAAGCCGCAGCCTTTTTGTAATCTAATCTCAGAAGTGACATCCCATTGCTTCTGCTGTACTCTACTCATCATAATGAGCCAATAAGCCCTGCCCACAGTCACAGTGAAGGGATTGCACACAAGTGTGAATGGCAAGAGGACAGGGGTATAGGGCCATTGACGGGCTACCAATCTCAGGGCCTCCGGAGGTAATTCTGGGAAGAGAAACTAGACTAGAAGTGAAGAGTAATGTCATTTTCAGACAAAAGAGCTACATTTGGAGCTCCTCCTACTCATTAGTTGTATAAGGAAGCCACTTAGAGATGAAGTGTGGTTTTTTCTTTAAGCAGACCTTGGAAAGATGCAGGATGCCAAGGTGGTACATAAGTGATTATGGATCATCACTGGGGAGTAGAAAGGGATCGTCTTACAGGGAAAATTATCTAAGGACATGCCAGGGAGCAGATTTCCTTTTGCTTGGCTGAGGAAACGGGAGGCTAGATTTTCCATTAGAAGTTGAATAATTATAACTGAATAATAAGAGTAAATAATTAAGGCTGCTTCTCTGATTAAGCATGCCAAAATCCAGAATTTCTCCTAAAAATAGGAAATGAGCCAATAAAAGTGATAGGAGTATGAGCCAGAAAGAACAGAGGCTGCAGTACGTAAAGTGCAAAGCACCGCCATTTGGCCGTGCATCCAGGCACTTGAAATGCCGTAGGTCCCAGGGAAGAGGAGCCACATTTAAGTGGAGAGCAAATTCCCATTAGAACGAAGATAAACTAATGGTCTAATGAGAAAGCTAATTAAGGAGAGGCAAGTCCTGCTCTCGTTCAAGAGGCAAAAGAATGGGTAGACTTTGTTTTTCATTGTATGAAGAAAGTTCTCAAGGTTAGGAGGAAAGCCCTGGCCTCTAAAGGGCAAAATGGGCATTCCTGTGTGCAGCGGGATTATTGAAGAGCAGCCACAGAAACAAGGGTCAGGAAGGTGAAGCCACAAAAGGCACAGGTCAATAAGAGAGAAAATGGAAAATAAAACTGTATGGGAAATGCAAATGTGAAAAGGGGGCCCTCTGAAAATTCCTAGGGAGCAGACCCACACATAAAAAACTGCAACATTTTAAAAAAAAGGAAGTCAGAAAAGAAACATAATATGTTAGAGAATAGGACATTATCATTTAAAAACAGGTTAAAATAGAGCACGTGCTTTTCGAGGCCAGGTTTTCTTCCTACTATCTCCACGTGAGTCCTGTCAGGACAGTGTGGCCCCGCTGTTACAGGCCTTGTTGTGATCCAGAAAAAGAATGTGGTAAATTAAAACAAAGCAAAACAAAAAACCAGCTCACAGATAACCACCGAAGGAAAACCAGTACAGAGAGTTCAATAATTTTGTTGCCTTAAGACTATAGATAAAGAAAACAAAGGGGCAGAAGTTTTAAATTCTACCAGTTCCTATAGCCATCTCATGAAGATGAAAGATATTCAAAAATAGAAAGGAATGCTTTTGTTAAACATGGAAAATTGAATACATATGTTTATCTTTGCTTCATCCCCAAATACCACTAAAATGACAGTAAATTAATAAAAAGTGAATAAATTCATAAGGAAAAGAAAACAAGAGAGGAGTTGACACTAGATGAAAAAGATGTCAACTAGATTCTGGAAAATGGAAAGCAAAGCATGGGTGAGAGGCAGTCAGCAGACTATAGGACATTGAAACCTGATGCCTCTGGGGAGTGGGGGAACGGGGTGAAATCCTAAAGGGAGCAAGCGCAGTTATGTGCTGTGACAGTGGAACGGCCCAGGGATTAGAGACACCAGGAACCCCTGAAAGAAGAGTGGATTTGAAAATAGGACTGTTTGAATGATTGTAAAAGGAGCAGCTAGGTACCCAGATACCCTCTTTAAACCCCACTATCCTGGCAGGATACCAAAGGTTTACACTCCAGAATAACTGAATGTGAGAAGCTTTGGATATAAGGATACATAACAGCAGAACAGAGTATGGAATAAGGCTAGAGTGAAAATATATATATTAAAGGGTGGGACATCCCAATCCATTTCACCCACTTACTTCCCAGGACAGGCAACCAGGCCTGTTATATGCATCAATAGCCAGGAAATTGGAAGACCCCTCTCTCGAGAAATGAGCTGGGTCAAAAGAAAATAATTGTGGATACTAGCAATTGGGGTCTCCCAATGAAATGGCTGCACCCCTGTCCAGTCTACCCCCTGAGAAGTATGGTAGTCAGTGAGCCTTTACCTATGTACACAGAGCTCCCGGTAGCATTTCAGAGACTCAGAAAGGCAAGGACCTCCGAACATTTGAGAAACACCTCTGATATGAAAGATAGAAACCAGAATCAAATAAATAAGAAGAAAAGAACTTAGAAGGAACAGAAAGAAAACAATGTGGGAAGCAAAAATGAACTTCAAAAAAAAAGCATAATTAATATCCTTAGAGAGAAAAGAGAAGGTATTGCACAGAACTGGAGGCTATGAAAAAGAACACACGTGTGTTAAAATATAAGAGTGAAAGCAAAAAAATTCAATATTTGAGTTAGATAATAAAGATGAAGAAATCTCCCAGAAAGTAGAAGAAAAAGCAAGGAGATGAAGAGAAGAAAATAAAATTAAAGGATCGAGCCAGGATATATAATACCCACTAGTGGGAGTTCCAGGTGGAGAACACAGAAAACGGCAGGGAGGAAACTGTCCAGGAACTAGTTCAAGAATATTTCCAAGTACAGAAGGGACATGTGGCTCTGTACTGGAAGGGCCACCCAGCATAATGGGTGGCAAAGCAAGCACACCAGAGCACTTCATCCTGAAATGTCAGTACCTTAAGGATAAACGTAATTATTTCAGAGCTTCCAGAAACAAAAAACGGTCACTTAAAAAGGATCACTAATCCAAATGGCATCAGAATTCTTAATAGCAACAGTAGAAACCAAAAGATAACGGCTTCCAAATTCTGAAGAAAGATTATTTGCAGCCTAGAATTCTATATCCTGCCAAACGACCAACCAAGTGCAAGGGTCAAGTAAGGATGTTTTCTGACGTCAGAGTT